GAGGTGAGGAGCTGGGGGTCTGTCCGTGCGTTGTGCCCGCGTCTCAAGAGGGTTCAAAAGTGCTTCCTGCCGTGGGGTGAAAGCATTCAGCGCCGAAAATGAGGGGTGGGAAAGAAGGTGGGGGTGTGTGTGTGGGGGGGTGTCGTGCACCTCCAGTCAGGGCCTGCTGGGCAAACTGGAATCGCCAGGCGGGAGGGGTTGTATCCGGCTGCTCTGAGGGAAATCGCTTATTTTGCGCACCACACATGCACCTGCGCTGCGCTGGGGGCTCTGCACCGGTGTCTTGTTTCTCCAGGAGTGCCCTGTGACGAAGGAGGGCTTCCCTTGGATGATACTTTTAAGAGGAAAACGTGGTCAGCATCCTTGAGAAGTAGTGTTTGTAACAGATGTAAATAATAGCTATATGAACGTGTCGCTCTATTAATTTTACAGGGTGCTTGCGGTCTTCATGTTCGTGCTGCTCTGCTCTAGGTCATGCATGTGCAGTTTTTGTCCAAGAGTTTTTAAGTATGGATGGCACAACTGAAAATTAGCGTGTTCAGCAGAACCAACACCTGGGCAAGCCCTCAAACAGGGATCCAATAAGAAAAAAAATTATCCTGAAATGCTTTTCTTCCAACGTGTGTGTTTGAAGCATGAAATTGTTCTAGGAAATCTAGGATGTGAAATAACGAAGCGTTTACCTGAGGTTTTTACATGCGTCTGCTGTTGTCTGCTTTCCTGCTTTAGTCTTGTGGAGAAGAGAAAGGGGACTCGCGTTACCTTCCTTGGTAGTAAGAGGAATGGAGTTGTGCCACAGTTTTTTCTTCCATTGCATTTCAGCAAAGAGCAGGGGAAAGGTTCTGCCCTAATGACTTCATGATGAGAACTTAAATGATGCTCTTTGAAGCCAATTTTTATGTCAGAACGATGTTGGAATAGATATGGGGAAAATTAGACAAACGTGAGGAGTTCTTTGACCATTTCTCTGCCGGGTTAGTTACACAGATCGGTATTTGTAAGATTTTACCATCTAGATTGCTCACACTCAGGCTGTGGAATTTCTGTGACTGCTTCTATGTGAGCTGCTGCTGAAATCCATCCTTTCTGCTGTTGTGTGCTCCTGAGTGCCCCTTGTGATGTCTGACTCAAGGGAGTAAGTAGATTGGAAACTACTCAGAAGAATAGTATGTGATTAGGTTTTTTTTAGCTGATTAGATTTGTTTGGCTGCATCTGGTGCTGGGATGACAGAATGGACGGGTATGAAGGCAAAGGTGTCATTATGACTTCTCTTTTTGCTAATGTCCTACTGCGATAAGAGCAGAAACTTTGAGTATGAGAAGAAGCTTGTTTGTAAAATTTAGTGGGCCCTTGTTGTATCTATAGAATTCTATTTATGTGTACTGCAAGGAAAAGGGGATCGAGTTGAGCAGTCCAGTTTTCAGGGTTGCAGCTTCACTAAATTCAGTGCTTTAACTTGCTGTCTGTACCTCAGAAGGAAAGCAGAAAACCACTGCTGGTTGATTTCATGCTGGGTAAGGAAAGGCTCTTCAGTTTTGTTGCCCAGCTTGATTTGGAAAACTCATCAATATTTTGTGTCCCTAATGTAAATAAAAATACAGCAGAAAGTAGCTGTTGAAGTATTCAGATAGGAATGCTGGCGCGTGAAGTGAGCAAAAGTGATTGCATCAGAGCTGGGAATGAGCTGAAATATTCATAAATTACATACAACCATGTTCCATCTGGTGAGTCAGTTTTTCCTCTTTGTACCTGGGTAACCCTTTTATGTATCTGGAGATTTACTTTTCAGTTAGAACCGATTTGACGTCGAGGCTCTGGAGTAGTTATGAGATGAAGTTTTTACTTACAAGTTCTGCAGTTCCCATCCCCAAGCCCATGGCTCGTTTGTTGATTTTGATGTTAGAAAAGGCTCTTAGCTGAATCCAGTTAGGCCTTGCAGATAATGTAGGTCCTCGATTGCAGTCTGTGATGCTGGCTTTAGCTTTGGAATGATAAACAGCTTTAAAAGCAGCCTCTGCTATAATTCTGCATACTTTGAAAGTTAAGCTGTGTGCTGATGTTTATTACAAACTGTTTTCCAAATGCAGGGCTGGTCTGTGTATGCATATTTCAAGTCTCTAATACAGATTAGAAAGGACAGATTATTTTCCTCTGGATGTTCCTAGTTGAGAGTGAAAACTGAACAAGTACAGCTTCTCTTTTTCACTTTATCCTGCTATTGGGAATATTATCCTGAAGCCAAGCAAGATATGTTCATTTGCTCTGAAGATTCTACCTCAGAGACACAAATTGGAATTTACTGTATGACTTTGCCCATTTTTTTGCGAATACTGTTCAGTAAAGGTCTTAACCTTTGAGCTGCCTTCTACAGACTTTAGGATTTTGCGTTTTAAATCCTTATTGTGGCCTGTGCTTGTGTTTATTAGGAAGCCACAGCTTCCCATGAGCCGAAACTGCAATTATGTATAAATGTGTCTGGTACTTCGGTGTCATTTAGAAAATTGTGGCACTTTACTGTGGGCAAGAGAAGAGAGGAACACTTGCTGTACCTGGGGTTTCCGATGCAGGCGTTCTGTGTGCTGATCAGTGATCTCAAGGGTTGTATTTTTTTGGATATGCAGCAGTCACGCTGCAGTTACTGCAGCTTGATGTTTTTTAATATTTTTAGTGTTTATGTATGATTTTATAGAAATCTGAACTGGTGTAATCCCTGTTAATGGTGCAGTGACAGGCAGTGTTTGAGGTCAGGTTAAATATTAGCAACCTATATGTGCTTTATGTCTTGTATTTATATCTGTGAGTAGCAACTACGCTGAATAATACTGTATGGCATTTACTCTTTAAAGACTGCTTCTTGTGGTTTGTGGGGTTTTTGGTAGTATTGATGACTAGCAGGTTTTAGCCAAGGCATGTGTGTTTTATAATTTCATTATTTCTCAACAACTAGTAATTGGACATTAGAGGTGCTGTCAGAAAGGAGCATATAAATTAGTTTGAAGCATTTTGCAGTGAAGTACACAGGGACAAGTACAAGATAATTACAGATATCCGAGAGTCATTGATATTTATTGTGGTGTTATTTAATTTATGTTTTCATAGCCATCGCAAAACTATGTGGAAATGGGGTAGTGGAGACGGTTCTCCTTCCAAAACAGTAGTAAGTATTGAATTACTATTAAAATATTATTTTCTTAAGAATTTCTGATTTAGAGAATCTTTAGTTGGTGATATACTACTCATATGTATTTGCACTTTCATAAATAAGTTGCTTAACTAGTTTTACCATGACTCTAGTTATAGGCCTCTTAAAAGTCGATTGGGTTCTTGATTCCTGTCTACTTGGTGTTTAATCTCTTGTGTGTAACACAGCTGCTCTATTCCTCTTCGCTAGGCTTATCTTGCTTTAAGAAAACAGCTGTAGGAATTACATAAGCTTTATCCCAAGCGTATTTGTTGTGTCTAGCGTGTCCAGTGTCAGTATTTTCTTGCCGCTACTGGTTGCTACGGTGCCAATCCAGTAAAAGAGGAAATTCAGTTTTAGATGTTTTGATGGTTTTGCTGCATTTCAAACTAATATTCCTAAACCAGTTTCTAAGATTTATAATTTCACGTGTCTTGAAACTTGCTAAAAATGGTCTGGTATAGGTACATAAAGTATATGTACGTTTTACTTTTGCACTCTGGTAAGATTTGATAAATGTGTTTAAAAAAAACCCCAGACAACTCTGACACATGCCAGCTGAAGCCCTTCTGCAGAAGCAGTATCCTCTGCACCATTTAGTTTGTTCAGAGTATATTTATTGTCTGCAGGCTGAGGGTTCCCAAGATGCAAGAAGCATGTCGGTGACGGATTTGACCGAACAGCTGGCAAGTACTGAACAGCTGGTAGCACAGCTAAAGGAGCTTGTGAGAGAGAAGGATGCTGAGCTTCGAAAAAAAGATCTTCAGTTAAAGGTACTGTGTGTGTATTCCTCTCAAAAAGAAAAAAAAATCTAAAAAAGAATCTCCCCTTCAGTCCTCTTTATCCTGAGCTGGTTTTGTAGATACAGGCTTAAATTCAGTGATGGTGATTCTAGGAACGCAAGAAGCGTTGGGAACAGCTGTTGAGTTTTCCTGGATGTTGCTGCTTTTTGCCAGTGTGTCCTCTGTTCCAGAATTGTAGATTTGGGTATTACACAGGCAACGTTTTCCTTGCAAGGGCAGATGCACTTAACAGTTGCGAGGGACAGGCTGACTTTATGAGCAATGGGTTGTTTTAGGCTAAATATGGGGAAAAAATACTGTGCATATTGTTACTGGACATACAATGAGATGCCAGCTTGCCTCAAACTGAATTTCTGTAATTAATTTCTTATTTCTCCTTCCACTCTAAATGTCTTTCTGTTTTATGATGGTCTTACTATTAATGCTACTATATGTTATCCTCTGCTTTTGACAAATGTTAGAAAGAAAAAGACTAGAAAAAGAATTATATCGATATCCTGAAGACTTTCGAGGGTTTGTTATTCTTTACTCTGTTGTTTTTTTAAATGATTATGAAGTTGGTCAATTCCCGCAAGAGACTTGTTATTTTTACACTTTTTAAAAAACATCTTCTGTGGATGCAAACAGCCAAGTGTTTGAAAATTTCTTTTTTCTAAAACTCTTCATAAATTAAGTAGTCTTTTAAAGCAAAATGAAGTACGGTTTTATGGTATTGTGAAAGTATTTTTTTTAGCGTCTAAAAAGAGCAACAAAATTAATTCTTCTGGTCCAAAAAATCAAACCCTGGATTTGTATTGCTATCAAAAAATAAGAAAACTTCTAAGGTCATAATGTGCTGGATTCTCTACAGTAATAATAACCACGTGCAGAAAGTTTAAATAGTGAAAGGTCGTTTGTTTCGTGTGTGCAGACCTGTTGCATGTGATGTAACATCTCTTTAGGGGAAGATTTTTTTTTTTTGGTAGTTGCTTGTAGATCTTGGTTTCTTTTTTTAATGGAAGAATTGAAGGATGCCGTTGTTGGTGTAGCTTATTTAGTCCTTCGTGGCTTTGGTGATTGCAGGAGGAGAAGGAATCTGCCGATGCCAAACTTTCCAAGTTGAAGCTGCAGAACAAAGCCAAGGTTGCATCGTTAACCTCACAGCTGGAAGAACTTAAGAAACAGTTGTCGGCATCAGGAGGCTTAGAGGCAAAAGCAGAACAAAAAAAGGTAAATACCCTTACGTTTTAAAGCAGGCATGATTTTCCTAAGGCCATAGTCAGTTTTCCATCCTGGACTCAAATGTGGAGCTGAAATTCACACTTTGAGCTGACTAAGATTAGCGTCAGGGTAGACTGTGTGGGTGCTGTGAGTCCATCTGCGTATTTCTCTTTCATTATTCTTTTAGCTTTCTGCGGAAATGTAGAAAAATGTACGTTCCTTTCAAAATGTTTTAGTAAAAAAAAAATCTTCCTGATCTTCATCTTATTAGCAGCTCAAAGTTTTAACATGTCAATTAGGAAGAGAGATTTTTGAGAAGAAATGAAAACAAAGCCTAACTTGTTACTTCAAAGTCCAAGATAAAAATGGAAATATAAAAATGTCTTTGGTGGCAAAATCTGAATTAAGTGTAGGAATGTCTCATTTAAGTGACCACTGTTTTACCCTCAGAGATTCTCAGATCTCTTTGTAGTAGCACGGTTGTGTGAGTAGACTTGTTTTTCTTCAAAATAGCATATTTTGACTTCTGACAGCTTCTAGGTTGACTTTAGTGAGGCTTTAATGTTTTAAGGGTATTTGTTTTTTAAAAATATCCCAAAAGGGAACAGAAACAGATCAGTTTGAAGGGCCTAGGTGTCCTCAAACTCCTGCAGTATTTATGCTTCTTTGCTAATAAAACATTTTTTTTTAGTGATTGCACTTGATTTCTTTTGTAATGGCAAATAATTTCTGTAACCCAGGAGTTACACATAACTGAAATTCTGATTAGAAATGTTATGCTTAGGAACAGTTTAATTTATGGTATTTTTTTCTCCCCAGAGTTTTTCTTTCCCCACTGAGTTATACAAACTACACTTGCCAGATTATATGGGGTACAAAGGAATTGTTGCAGTTGACTTTGCAGCGGTAATTACCATTAGGAATTAAATAGGAAGATTTTTCCGAGCTTGATAGACATTTTTTGTCTGATTTGTCTGACTGCTGTGTGGAATCTGTGATATATAAGAGGACTGCAAAACAAACCATGAGCAAAGTCCACTTTTTCTCCCCAGTATTATCTGAGTAGGTAGAGGTATAGAAGCCAGGCGTTACCTATTTACGGAATGCACAACTCCTTTTTGCAGGCATCAAAAGACGGTGACCAGGAAAATGCTGCGGCAAATCGTGGGAAAATATTAGTCCTGAGAAGGAGAATTGAAGAGCTGGAATCCCAGATCACACAAAAAAATGAAGAGTTACAAAAAAAGGTGGTGTTTTATATGATGCCAAGTGTGTGGCTTTTCGTATTTGTGGTGTAGGATTATGTTTAAATATATTTATTTAAACTAATTTATATAGTTAATGATGTTATGTTACTAAACTGATATTCTGAGAGTTTTCTGTCGAGTAGACAAAGAACTTTATATGCTACAACCTGCCTGAGCAAACGCAGCGAGAATTCTGTCGTGTCTTCAGTGAGCGGTGAACCCTCAACTGTGCTTTTGTGGTTGTTTGCAAATGAACAGAACAGAATACACCAATAGGAGCTTCATGGGTTAACGCTGTGTTATAAATCTTGTGTTTCGAACAAAAATGCTGTTTTGCTTGAGTTTTTCTTGAAAGAAGAAATGGAGGCGAGCGATGGCTTCATGTCACGGAGTTTAGCTGTTCTGCGCCAGTGACGTCCGTTGTGGATGGGGCTGTTGACGGTGAAAAGCGGCAGCGACGCGAATGCTGCAGAATTTCACCGAGAAAGGCTCAGTAATTTAAGATTACACTTACGTTTGAACCAGGCTACAAGTTTAATTGTAGTTTTTTTCAGTACCCTGATAGAGGAAAAAAGGAAAGAATGGAAAAGGTTCTTCTGGGCTGTAGGTGGTAAAAGTACAGATTCCAAGCAGTGCTGTCTTTTTAATTTTCAGAGTGTGGAGCTGGAGGCCCAGCGGTGTCGTGGGGCTGAAATGGATGCCATGCTGGCAGAGAAAGAGAAGAAGTTAGCTGAAAGAGATGCTTATATCATCGATTTACAGATAGCATGTGGATCGAGCGGTGTTGCCAGTGAAATACTCTTGCCCAATGAAGAATTGAAGGTATATTAGCAGCTCAAATATAAAATCTCCACAAAGGTGTCAAGGAATCAAAGAATTCTGATGCTTTGTATGGTGGATCCTTCTCTGAAGCACAAATCCTCTGCAGTTATTCATGTGAATAAAATTCTTTACTGATATTTTAATTTATGCTAGTAGTTCATATTTATTTTTTTTGTCAGTGCCATTTATATGTATTAGTATTGACTTCAGAATCTACTGACAAATTTCATTCAAATGAAAACCAAACCTGAATTTTGAGTTTAATATTGCTTTAACTGAGGGAAGTGATTAATGATATTTACTACATCTTTTTTTCTGGGTCCATTCTTCTAATTGTCTTTTGGTTTGCGTTCTGAAGAATCAACTGGCTGTTAAAGAGTCATCACTACAAAGCATGCAGATTCTGGTTCAGAACCTTACCACGAAGGTTGGAGACAGCGAAGAAAAATGTAGCTTGTTCCAGGAACAGATTGAGAGTCTTAAAAATATTCAGAACAAAGAAAGAGAGCGTTTCCAAGGAAAAGAAGCTACATATATGGAAAATGTAAGTAAACACTGTAAAAATATTTGCATTGTTTGGCGGAAGAAATGGTATCTTGATTGTAGTGTTTCAATAGTTAAGAAATTTAATTCATTTTTAATTTTGGGTGACTCTTGGGTAAAGATCTAATCCGGTGATCAGATGAAATGAGAATATTGTGCTGGTGACAATCGAAAGTTGAACGTTTTGTGCAAGAAAGGAGTTTAAGGATGTGGCTGATGTTTGGGCACGGAGGAGCTGACAGAGTGAGAGATGAGTTGTGCAGAATTCCAGCTGAAGAACCTCCAAACATCTCTTTTGTGTTAGCGCTACATCTCAAGGTGCAGAAAGACACGATTGCACATTCTGGTGGTGTTTTTGGCTTATTGCAACTGTTCTTGACTTGCAGCACAAGTGAAAGTGATCTGTCAAATAGATGTTTGTGCTGTCTGACGCACTTTCTGGTGTGACAGCATGGGGAAAAAATGGGGTTTTCCTCCTGAGTGAACAGTACCATGCTTCTCATTTAAAGTTTGTTATTGTGGAATTGAGTTTTTGAATTTTCTTTAAGCTGAAGGTTTATCCACGTGCACCACTGATGGCAGTAATCACTGACTGATTATTTACTCTTCAGTGAAAGCCAAATTGAGACTTGAGGTAGAGTAAAAAGTGCACTGAATTATCTACAGTGAGATAGTGTAGTCTAAGTTTGTGGACTATTTTCGTATTTACTTTCTGTGTGATTTTAGGTACGTGTGCTTCAAAGTATTATCCAGGAGAAGGAAAAGGAGCTGGAAACGCAGAGAGAAAAGCATGAGCAGGAGCTCTTTAAAATAGCAGCTAAATCTGATGCAAGTGCTGACCTAGAACAGGTAAGTTGCTTTAAAAACATTGGTTTGCTTTGACCAGCTTAGATGTGGGAATTTGGAAACATGTTGTTACTAACCTCTGCAATGCAGTTCGGATGTCTGGTTGGGAAAATAAAGATAAGTCTTTTTTGCGTCTGAAAGTCTTAACTCCTTGTATTGATTGCTTGATTTTTATTTTTATTGTTTTAATTTTTTTTTTTTTTGCTAGCTACTCAAGGCCTTGAAACAAAAGCTCCATGAAAAGGAAGAAGTCATGCTGGGAAGGACACAGGTGATAGATGTCTTGCAAAAAGAACTGGATGCTAAGGACCAGCAGTTGAAAGTAAGGAATAGCACGTGTGCATGACTAAACTTGTCAGGCCAGTTACAGGTTCAAAAAGTTGTTTGGTTGTGCACAAAAGGTAGTTTTGCATAAAATATGTGGACAGTTCTTTGGGAGGCCTTGACATGTTCCAATAATGCAACCATAATTGTGCAAACAAATATTAATTCCAGTTAAGGAAATTAACTTAAAGGTGAGGTAAAGCCCATAAAATATAAACCTGTCAACTCTCACCTATAGTTTATCTTGATTCATTTTAGGAACTCACCATGCAGGGAATGGTTTTTTTTGCTGTCAAATGATTTTAGCTTCTCTGGTTAGAGACTGCAGTGAGCCCTAAAACTGAGGCTTTCCCCACTACCCCTCCCAAGAGAGTGTTTTGCTCATTGTGTGCTTCAGAGTGCTGCTTGCTTCAGTTTAGCGGTGTAGAAAAAGGATGTTGCAGTGTCTCGGATAAGCTTTGTTTTAGCAAAGTGTACTAAAATCCCCCCTGGGGTGCCAAGTCTAGCGTTTTAGCTGTACTATTTCCACCTTGTGGATTAAAATAACGTAAAGGTGCTAAAAATAAACACTAGCAGAAAACTAGTTAGCAACAACATAGTGTAGAGAAGCACTGGGTCAGTTTGCCAACTTCACTTCTGGTGAATGCGGGTGACAACATGTGGGTGGCGTTGGAGTGAATGTTCTTAATCTTTGAGAGGACTGTTAAAAGAGATCTGCTTCTATTTCTTTGTTTTCTTTATATTCCATAAAACCAAACATCATTTTTTATTCTCTTTTCACCTGTGGGAGAGGTTGTGTGTAGTTTGCACTCAAGCAGTCTTGGGAAGTCAGAGCTGAGTAGTTTTCGTAGAAGAGCCAGGTTGTTGACAGAAGCCCTGATTTCTGATTATGCTGTATGTAGGACTACAGATCTACTATTTGACAATAGGAGCAAAAATACTTTGCATTAAAATATAAAGATTTTTTTTTTTTTCACAGGAGATTAATGAAAACCTGAAACGTCTTCTGTCTGAAAAAGAAAACCTCCAGTCTAAACTGGATGCTGAGAAACATGTAATGAGAGCCCAGTTAAAAGACATGATGGAGAAACATGAGCTTGAAATGACAAAAGTTAAGGAGAAACACAACGCTGAACTGCATGAAATTCAAGAGAAACATGAAACTGAGCTGCAAGAGAAAGACCAGGCCCTGTTTCAGCTTAAGAAGCAAGTGGCAGAATTAAGTGGCAGTGGACAGACTAACTCAAAAGAAGTTCGAGATCTGGAGTCTGTAACCAAAGAGCAGATGGAGGATTTAGAAGGTATCCTACCTGAACAGTTGTTACACCTGGAGGGTTCCTTTACCCCAGACTATTACGTGTTGTCTGCCAGTTTCATACCTGTTGCAGGTAGAACTACATTAAATTTCACAGAAGAGTCATTGCCACACTAATCAAAATATCTGTAACCAGATCCTAAAATAAGGAGGGTTACAGGAATACCAAAATAATCACACAAGCTATAAATTTCTCACTACATTTCTTACCGTAACGGTTTTCTGTAAATGCAGTTGTCTTGTCTAAGTATATAATTTCTAATACCTCAAGGAATTAAACGTTGGTCTAGTGTTAATCTTTCTGTGGTTTTAAATAACTTTTTACATCTTGTTGCTTAGTGCAAGTGAAATTGAAAACGGAAGAGGCCAGCAAATCAGAAGCCAAGTTTCTGAAAATGAAGGCCTGGTCTAAATCAAGAATCAAACAACTGGAGGATGAACTAAAAGCTGTATGTGTAACATTGTGTTTACTATTCCATGTCTATTTTAAACTACTGTGCGTGGGGATTTGACTGAAAGAAGTAAAATGTGGGGTAAAGAGAATGCTAAAAGAATTTACTCAAAGTATCTTTGTATATTGAATGAATGTATAAAAATTGAATGGACATAAAATGTTGATACAGGATGAAGTTTCAACAAGAAACAGTACAGAATGTTGGTAACGGCATTCAGGAGTAAGTTTGTTAAGAGATTAGCTAATCTATTCTGCTTTTAAATATTAGAAAAACAATTATTTTAAATAGTACTGAAAATTGGGGAGAAAAAAATGTGTCGACTTTGCTGTGTTTCTCATGTTTTGGTGCATTTGAAAAACTCATAACTGTATTTTTTCTTCTAGTTGTCATCAAAGAATAATGACGTGTCTGCCTTAAACAATCGTATCTCAGAATTAGAAACTGAAAATGAAGAACTGCAGTCAAAACTGCAAGCGTTGCATGAAATCAGAACTCAGAACGGTAAAAAAGTTTTTTTATTTGTGGGTCATTCAAAGTAGAGAGACAAAGATAAATGCACTTTTGCATTTTCTTTTTCAAAGCCTTTTATAAAAAAAAAAGTTTCTGAAGGGAATTCACGCGACTTTGAACAATAGCGTAGTGTTTAAGTCGGAGTTAAAGCTCAGCTTTTCCTTCCCTACATCTACCTGGGCATAATTCTTGTTGCATTTAGGCTTAGGCAGAATAGGTATAAGCTTCTCCAGGAAGTGGGGAAAAAGCATCTTATGTGGAAAAATGAGACCAAACATACTTGGAAAATTTGTCAGAATACAGTCAACTTCGGAGACCAGAGACTTGCAAATAAATCCAGAGATATCTTTGCTTTTGTAAGCAGTTGAGAGAGAGTTTTTGCTTAAAACAATAGATAGTTTGAAGTGGAGCTCTGTGAGACGTTTTCCTGTTTCACCTTGAGTTGTTTTCTCTGACATCCTTGCTATAAATGGTAGAATTTTCAGTTCACTAGTGTAAATTGTTAGCAGATTAGATGTACAGCATTCGTTGATATTTAATAATCAAGAAGTCAGCTTTATGAGTAGATAGATAACACAGCCCAACAGAGGTCTTCTAACTGGAATCACCTCTATTTTCATTTTGAATTTTCTTGTAGATTTTCGTTGGTCTTTCTGTTGGTTTCGTGTCCTAATGAGCCAAATTTATTGTGTTTTGTAGAAGAGTTGCTGACTAAGCTGGAACTCTATGAAGAGCAGCAAAGGAAGTTGCAAGCTGATCTTGATCAAGTTACAAAGAGGGCAGCCTCACAGGTTTGCTTTTAAAATTGATTTGTATGATTTACTAATTAACTCAAAAAGTGCTAAATAGACTTGAAAAATGTTTTAACTGGATATTAATTTAGTGTTATATGGAATTGACGGTGTCAGTAGCTGTTCGATTGGATAACAAGCTGACAGGTTTGGAATTACTTAAAAAGATTAATTTCTACTTTGCCAGATACCTGAAATACATTTCCCCAAGCAGTTTACTATTTATTGAGTTATGTTTAGCATGAGTGAACAAAGTGTGGCTGTTATTTTGAATACAATGTGAAGGAAATGGTAACAGAAACCTTGACGAGCGTACACGTCCAGATAAGAAAATGAGAAGATTCAGAAAATATTTCTGAAGGGCTTTAAGTGGATTTAACTTTGTACAGCAGTTTGGGTTCACTGGCAATTAACATCCCTTTCATAGATTTTAAGAAAATGAGAAGATTCAGAAAATATTTCTGAAGGGCTTTAAGTGGATTTAACACAATAAGTGAATCCTGGTAACTTTGTACAGCCGTAGCAACAGACCGAATTTGAAACAGATGTTTTGCTAAAACAAAAATTGTTTTTTCCAAATTTTGTGCAGAAGTTTGGGTTCACTGGCAATTAACATCCCTTTCATAGATTTTTCTTATTTATTTATTTATTTATTTATTTATGCCGAGTGGATTGTTTTCCCTGTGAATGCTTTGCCAACTTAAAATGTTATTTACACTTTGGGGGTATTTGGTAAATGTATTTTTGTGTGCAATTTCTCTTGTTAGGCCAGTGAATCAGGTAGCGTGGATGAGTTGCAGAGTCAGCTCTTGGAATGGCAAGAAAATGTACCGGAGTCAGAGGAGTCCCGTGATCAAGTCAGAGAAGAGAAATCGGCTATGGCCTTGAGAATGGCTCAGATTGAGGAGGAGAGAGAAGGTGAATTGTTTTATTTACGATGAAATGATGATGTTTATACCTGACATACACGTGTGTGCGTGCCTGCTGTATTTCAGACTGAGTTGCTGGCACGCCACCACGACTGATATCTCTAGTCATCTTTGTATAGTTAACAGAATTGCTTAAATTGGCAATTTCTACTTTTTCCTACTTCCTTGAATCTGTTTTTCATGCGTTCATCTTTTTTTTTTTTGCATCGTTTTTATGAGTAGATGTGCTTGTTCTATTTGCCATCTGAGTTGCTGCTCTGTAAGGCTGCTTGAACTTACTTTGAAAGCTTAATGTCTGCATATGGATCATCAACGAGAAAAAGTTCATCGTTGAAATATTAAAGCTGCCTGCCTGCAACAGCTGGTGAAGGTGTGGGGAGCTCTAGTCTTCATTTGAATTCGATGAATGAAGGTGATGCTTCAGTGAAATGTACCCGAGATGGAGTTTCTCTTTAATGAGAAACCTTTCTTAAAATATTTAGTAATCTGTTAGCAAGTGTACTTGTGTAAGTCAGCTGAATAATAATAACTGGCAGCGGTTTGGAGCGAGTTAAAAATAAGAAATTACCTCCAGAGAAGAACATTTCAAGTGATCTCAGGTTTTCTAGTTTTCTAAAGCACTAATAAAACAGATGATGAGAAGGTGAAGCAGCTTCTGTTAAGACTTATAAAAGTCTGGTTAAATTTAAGATAGGTTTTACTACTTTTTTTCAATGCCATCTAGTACTATATTACAATTTTTGTCCTGTTGGTTAACATAGTGGGGATTAATGGCAAATTCTCATGTGCATGACCTACCGTCGTAATTAATCCAGTTAGCTAATTTGAGCGTTCTCTTTTTAATCTGCGATCTGAATCATTTTTCATTTACATGATCGGTTAGGAAGTTCAGTGTGTAAGCATAGAAGTGTTTTAAGAATCATTTCTCCTCTTCTTGAGCGACTTACATAAATGCTTTTTGGAATCGAAAGAGAACAATATTCTTTTCATTAAAACTACGTGTTATCTCATCTGTGGGAGCTACAGATCCACATGCGATATTAATAACTGTTGTAAAATTTCATCTGCGTCAGTCCGTGTTTAATTTTGCATTTTTTTCCCCCCCTTGGGATAAGCATGACCTTTCTGTTTCTTTTTTTTTTTTTTCCCTGCCGTTACACCTGATGAGCGCTCAGCGTCCCTTCCCCCTCCACTCCTACCCTACACTGCGATTTGGTCAGCCAGGGAGAACAGTTTCCCATCAGTTTTGTGCGTGCAGGTTCCTGCAGCAATGGCCCCTTGTAAAGTACTGCTGCTCATTTCCTCCCTTTTTGCTTCTTCTGAGGAAATTTCCAACAGTACCTTATAAGATTTGCCATTGATGGTATGTGGTTTCTAGCAGTACGTGTAACAAACGCTGGGTTTAACTTAATAGCAATTTTTTTTCTGCCTCGCAATAGCTGTTTCTTCATTTATATTAACCAAATCATCTTCCGTCATGTTTCTTTCTAGTAACAGCTGACTCCATATTTGTGTTGTACCCTTACCGAGAGAAAAATATCTTGGGTTGCTGCAAGTGGTTGTGTTTAAATAAGAAATTAATTTAAATATTCTTGGTAGTGTTGGAAATTCAGTAGTTTGGTGGGTTTTTAAAAAAAAAACAAAAAACCCAACCCACGATTATATTCTGTCCCATAAATTGCAGAACTTTACATGCATTAATATTAGCTGCCAGTATTTTAAGCAATATATAAACCCACTACTCATTCCATCATAGTCTAGTTTGCCAAAGTGCAGCTCCTACTGTAAAAAAACCAAACTACAAACACTGCACTCCTACTATAAAAGTTGTTAATTTGTTTTTCTTTAGCTTTCCTCCTCTAACTTCTTCTGACAAGACGTTAAGTATGCAATTTTGCAATATTACAGGAAGAGCCTAAATCTAGTGGGTGTTAGAGTTGTGTGTTAATGAAATTCGTGGTGTAAGTAATCCTTGGGCAACTCGGATGAGAGCTGAGTGTTCCCAGTAGGGCTGAAACTCCTGAGAGTTTCTGGTGTTCGCCTCACAGATGCATCAGTGTAAATTCTCTGAATTTTGCATGCTTGTGACGACAAGTTAATCTAACTCTAATTAAAGTATGGAGCCACCTTTACTTCCTTTTCTTTTCGCTGGCTGTTCTGGTTTGTCTGCTTTGCATGAGACACCTGTTTTCCTACCCTGTTACCTCAAACATGTTTTGTCATATCACAAAACAGATGGGAATGCACTCGAAATAAATCATTTCTAACAGTGAACAGTATGCATACCTAAGCTTTCATATTCTGAATTTATTCAGTGTGTTTATTTACAAGTGATTCTGTCTTTGTCTCAAAAAGAGTGATATTATTAATTTACGATAAGGTGGTTTGATGCCAGTTTGCAGTGTAACTCGTGCTTGTGACTTCCTCAGATTATCTGGCTTTGTAACTCGTACTGAAATTCAAGTTGGAAGGGACTTGTCATTTCCATAAAAATGAACGTGATTCTTCAGGTTGTGAAACCCACAGCTGTTTCAGCTGATGCCTTTGTCATATGAACTGTGTATATTTTAACCTGGTAAATTGAAATGAGAGGTAATTTGGCATTTTAATTGGTTGACGTGGGTTTTTTTCTTAATATCTGCATAACCTCACCCTTTTAGTATTGACATAACCTCACCCTTTCCAGTCTCCTGTATAAAACCTTCCTTTAGATCTGGTGAAGAAGTGAAGTTAAACTTGAGTTTGCTTCTTCTCAGTACGATACGCAGATTTTATTCTTACATTCTACGTGGTAATGTTGGAGGTAAATCGCAAGGTGAACGCAACGGATTGCTTCTTTAACCTTGTTCCTGTCAGTCATTCGTAGAGACTTCAGCCTGTCCCTGGTCTCTCTTCATGTAGCAGTGTCTGATATAAATGTAATTGCTTTCCTGTGGCACAAAACTGATTGAGGATGACTGGTTCTTTCCTGGCTGCTCTGATCCAGCCATGGTCTCAGGGCAACAGGAGCTGGAGGAGGAACTGGCCACAGTTCAAGGAATGGGCAGGCTGCAGCAGGCAAGAAGAAAAAGCGATCAGACCAGCAGGAAGGTTCAGGTGGGTTAAAAGAGATAAGAGTTGGTTTTTTTACTTGTATGTTAATGAAGAAGATGGAAAGTACTATTATTTGTGTGGTGCTTTGCACTTAAAAACGTGAAGGGTGTAAGAAAGGTTAACTGAAAACTTTGGTAGATTTAGCATTTGTGTGTATGTAGCTAGAAGATGAGAAGTTCCAATGGCATCACACCTTTCTATTCCTTGAGTAAACAGTCTACTTAATTTTACACTGAAAAAATAACGGGCTTCCCTCTGGAGTATCTCACGTGCTTGAACCTATGCACATGTTTAATACGTTAAGGCCATTTTTGCTTTAGACACAATCTTTCCGAATCTCTCGGTCGGAGGAGCTTTCCTGAATAATCAGTGTCAGTTCACTGAGGTGTACTTCTGTGTAACTGGTGCTGTGACTTGGATAAAAAAAGTATAATCTTCTGTAAGAAGACTTAGGATGTCGTCACATTAACATGCTGTTGGAAGACTCATTTTCTATTTAATTAACTCTGATACTTCACCCTGAGAATCGGACAACCCTATTAATTGTAGAAAGTGAAGGACCAGTATGAATTATCTGAACACAGTTATCCACTGGCCTTTCAGATGCCTGAGGGTGTCTTCAAAGACCTGGCAGATACTGTACAAAAAACCTGTGGGAGACTTGGCTTTTGAAAGCTGGAAGCTGCACAGATTGCTCTGGTGTCTGCAGGGTTCCCCTGTACTTACATTTAGGCACCTGAATCACTTGCTGAGTTAAAGGCCTTTTTCATTGAAACTACTCTTTTAACATGTTACTTTTGCTTCCTTTCTTCTTTAAATGAAACTTCACTCTCCTTTTGTGCACAGGAAGAATACAGCTTTGATAGAAAACCATGCTTTCAAGAATTGAACGTGACCTTGGATAGCACTGACTCGGCTGAAGGAGAAAACATGGGAGGTTGGTGGCCAGAGTACACTTCACCTAATGCAGGTGTGATAGCGACTAGACAGTTTATTAAAGCATGCACAGCATTTGTAGTTTGTGTCTATTTTTGTTTTCAAATTCAACTAACAACCCATTTGTGGTGTATTCTAATCTTTGTTGAATTTTTTTGGCTTGCGTTTTCTTCCTTTTTCATTTTAAAGCATGTGCGTGCTGGATGAACTGCCTAGTTTTGGTTCAGGAGAAGAATATAAATATGATTAAACACTGGACGTGGTTGAGCTTTGGTGCCCATGAAATACCATCTGTGGCAGGATCATGTGGTTGGTTGTTTGGTTTTATTTTTTAAGTTACAAATTGTGTTCCTGTGAATGTGTTTCCAGTCTAGAGAGCAGTTATGTTGCAAACCAGAATTGCATTCCATTGCTCTGTGCTTTTAATTTAATTATTTTTTTTAATGCAAGACATTCTTATATTTGTGGTAAAGGCTGCAGATATATTGTAAAAATGAAATAGACGCACTTGTAAATTTTGATCCCAAGCAGTTTACTTTGTTTATTAACAGTAGCTTAAGATCTCCTACCTCATCAGCTTGTGCTTAAAGTAACAGAAGCCACATTATTGATGGAGCCGTGATATTGTTTAGAATATTTCTGCCAGGTTCTCTGAGTTCTTGAGCCATGCAACTTACATTTGTTTTTTCAGCAGTTGGGGTACCATCAGATTTTTGGAAATACAGGGCCTCAGACATTTCCACTGGAAATGACTGAGATCTGATTGCGCCCGACACTGGTGCAAATAGTGTATGAACCATTTGTAGACTTGAGGAATTTTAGTAGAACTTTCTTGAAATGATTTTTCTTCTTTGATTTAAGTAGGTTTACGGAGTGTGGTTGAAGAGTTGGAATTGGAAAGAAATCAACTGCAGGAGCAAATTCTGTTTCTAGAAGAGCGTTGTCAGGATTTGGAAGATAGGTTGCAACTGCAAGGTAGAATGGAGGCTCTTCAGGTGAGCTTTTGTAGTTGTGCAAAACCTGGTGATAGAATCACTTTGTTCTCTGTTTATATTCTTGGAATCGTAGCCTGCAGTAAGACAAAAATGTCAATCTGCAGCTGGCAAAAATGTCTCAAGCCTGTTATATTGGCAGAGAGTGCACACGTGTAGTGTATTGTAATCTGAGGTTGATGCCTGTCACTTCAGCACATGGAGAAACTTGCTCGGAATTAAGCTTTGTAATTTGTTTTAGAAACAATCCTAAAATGCGATATGATTTTCATTATTCTTGGTAGGGGATGTTTGTCAGAAGGTGCAGAATTAGATTTTTTTGTAGCTACTGGCATGAGTCTCCCTCTTGTATCCCTCAAGTTTCTTGCTATATAAGTATTTTATTTATATATATATCTCTAAACCCACATTTATAGAAAAGAAACTGCTTAAAATTTAACATTTAATTATACACATATAATCGAAACCCCAGGTATAAATTTGGTATACGTTTATATTATACAGTTATTCAATGAAGCCGCTAAAAACAACTGTAAATATTTATCAGAAAAGTTATTTTTAATATTTCCTTGACTGATGAATTCCTACATTTGATAATATGTAAACCTTATTTCCAGAAAATGACGCAACTGATGTCTTACTCAAATTCTTTCAGGCTTGCCTCATTACTTATAGCTCTCAAACTGTTAAGTTGCATGTATATAAAAAAGAATGAGTGATTTTACGATGAAAGAGAACCTTATATTTGTTATTACTTGAGAATCTTGTAACAAAGCCTTTCAATACAGGTAACGTTTGGTGTAGATGAAGAAGGGCAGCTATTGAGGGCGGTGCAGGTGTGTTCTGCCTCCTCCAGAATGCTAGCTTATTTTCATTAGAGGTGACAAGTTTGCCATGTCTGTCTTATTTGCCGTCGATTCTGGATATGTGTTCTGCTTTTGGTTTTTGGTTGCTGTTGTCAGTTTGGGGGTTTGTTTCTTTTTTTGTGTTTTAATTTTGAATTGGTGCAGTGCTAGAGAGTAGGAGATTTGTACCGTGTTTAAAAAAAAAGAAAAAAAAAAACACAACAAAAAAAAGCTGTGTGAATGAAGCTTGCTTCCTTATCCTTTTCTCCCCAATCCCTCACATGCAGGTTTTTACATTCTTTCAACCTGAAAAAAATAGACAAAAAAAAATAATTTGCAAGTTCGATACTGTCTTCAAACCCAAGATGAAAGTATTTTCTCAAAGCAGTAGCTTCCCCTCTTAAGATAAGTAAGCTGCCTTAACACAGTATGGGGGTGTGTGTGTTGTTCTGAGTACGCCGCAATCATCCTTGAGTTCATGCTGTCGTAGCATTACTGAAGGAGGCGTTTCTGGAAGGTGGGCTGCATCTATTTGAACTAATATCACGTCTGAACTTGTGATATTAGGGTTGCATTTTGCACTGACACCTGATGAAGTGCTAGAATAACGGTCTCTTGTTACCGTCTGGGATGTAAATCTCCTGAAGGGTAGGATTTTTGTGACTCTGGTTATGTCACACCCTTCTGGGTGTGTGTATGTGATAATGCTCTTGGTTATTGTTTTGTTGCAGAATGAAAACGAACGTTTGCAAACTCAGCTCAGCCAGTTACGCAGCCAACAAATGCGAGATGTGGAAAAACACCAAATTCTGATCTCTGGCTTGAATGAACAGCTTAAAGGGTAAAAGAAAGGTTCTTTACGACTCCGTACAGGATTAGCTTTGTCTGCTTTAACCTTAAACTTCTGATGATAAGTATAATCTTGTAAAACACTTCAAAAAGACTTTCTTGATTCTTGCTTCTGTTTGCGCTAATGTTCTTGTTGTGCTTGGAAGCTTAAATGGAAAATGTAAAAAAATCATAGAATCATAGAATGGCCTAAGCTGGAAGGGACCTTAGAGATCATTTAATTCAACCTCCCTGTCATGGCCAGGGGCGCCACCTCTCGACTAGATCAGACAACACATGGGGACCGAATGGGAATCAAACCTGCGGCCTTGGCGTTGTCAGCACCGTGCCCAACTGACTGAGCTAATCAGCCGCCAATAATTATTCTTTTAGGAAAATAGTTTGGGACTAGTATGTCTAGAAAGCTTAAAGCAGGCTTCGTTTTCAAAATGTCTGACTATGCATTTTCTTCTCAGATTAAGTGACAGAAATAGCTTCCTTGAAAATTCACTTGGAGAAAAAGAACAAAAACTGTTAAGCATGACAGAAAAACTGGAGCAAATTGAAACTTTGAGGAAACTGCTTCAAGAAAAGGATCTTCTGAACAAAGAGCTTGGTGAAAAGTTCATGCATACTGAGCAAAAAGTAAGCTGTTAAAGTGTTTCACTTACTGGAACTGTGTCCCAGCAGCAGTATTGCTGTTTTCTTTATCTGAGGGTTTTTGCTCTGTTCCTTTACAGTTTTGTTAACTTAAAGCAAAGCAACTACATTAAGTTGGGTATAAGGATTTCTTAGACCCAGCACAGAGCCTTTGCGTGAAAATATTCATGTTTTATTGGGGTGATGAATTATCCTCATTTATTGATTTCAGGGTATAAACTTTATTGTTTGAGAGTTTATTATAACTCTGACATCACAATTTTAATATAATTCTATACATTTCCATTACATTGACTTTTATTTTTAATACTAAGCTGAATGAAGCCTTAAAGAAGTGCAGTGTGTATGAAGTGGAGAACACTGAGCAGAAAACGGTCATCAGTGATCTAACAGAAAAAGTTGCTACGCTGAAGGAAAAGGTAACTCATTAAACTCAAGTAAGAGAAGAAATTTTATGTTCTTTTGATGTGGTGCATTTAAATGTCGGCAAAATATCAGTATTAGCTGCTTAAAATTTCGTACTCTAAATTTTCTATATGCTAAAACAATCTAAAGAATAACATGATTGTCTTGCTACTGTACAGTTGAGTACAAACTGAGTACCTTAGATGCTCGTTCTCTATGTGGAGTGTAACTTCCATTCTCCCTCTGACAAACGTTTGAAGTATTTTTATAACGTGATTTTCTTGATGTTTAGACTTTGAAACAAGATGGCGTGGTAGAGTCGATGCAGCTGGATCTGGACCAGACAAACGAAGAGCTCGACAAATTGAATACGAGCCATTTAGAGGAACGATCGCAGCTTATTCAAGATCTCCAGAAACGTGAAAGAGAAATTGATAATCTTAAAGAAGCACTGGCAGAAAAAGACAGGGAGATGTCTGTTCTGTCTCTGAATATGACAGAATATTCGGAACAGGTTATCATCTTGAAACATCAAGTGCAATGCAAAGAGGAGGAAATACGAGGGATGGAAGAGGCTTTATCAAAGGCTGAAAGGGAAACTCATTTACTGAAAGAAGTACAAACAGCTGATGTAAAAGATGCAAGCGTGAAGATTTCTGTTCTTTCTGAGCAGAGCAATGCGTTGAGGCTAGAGCTAGAAAGAGTTAGAGGAGAAAATGAAGCTAAAACCAAAGAAAATGAGGAATTAATAAGGCAAAACAGTGAGAACAGCGTTATAATTAAGGATCTCCGTTCTGAAATCAAGGCCAACCATGCCGCATACCATAACAAACTAGCGGAGTGCGAGTCCCAAATTAAATTGCTGAAAGAACAAGTTAGTAAATCGTCTGAAAAGCTACAAGAAACAGAGGATAAACAGAGAAAAGAAACTGAATATTTGAAATCTCAGCTTGAGGAAAACAGTACTCTAAAGGAAAAATGGAACAATTTGCTTAAAGAGAAAGAGAGTAAAACACAGACACTTGAAAATGAGTTAAAATCAATTAAAGATTTGTACAACAAGCTGGTCTTGGAAAATACTAAAAAAGATGAAGAGTTGGCTGAGTTATCTGGGAAGCTTATAGAACATACTGAACTTCAGGAAACAGTTGAAAAAGAGTTACAAGAGAAACAAGAGTTTGTTATTTCATTAGAGCAGAAGCTTGAGGTTTTGCAGCAGCAAAATGAAGAAGCTAAACTTAAATTAACTGAAGATCTGAAAGCCAAAGAAACATGTTGCAAAGAACTTAATAACCAATTAAATGAAATACGTGAACAAATTAACAAGATGGAAATAGAGGCACAGGAGAAAGCTTCAGCTAATAAGCAATTGCAGGCAGATCTGAAAGGGAAAGAAGGAAAATTGGCAGAGCAACTAAAAGCAAATGAATATCTAAAAAAAAGTATAGATACAGTGGAAAAAGAGAAGGCACAGCTAATCAGTGAAAATGAGAATTTGTCCAAACTCCTGGATGTAAAAGAATGTGAATTGTTAAAGAAAATCCAGGCTGTGGCAGAAATAGAGACTAAGTTATCTGTTAGCACTGCTGAGTACGAAAAAACTCTTTCACTACTAAATTGTGATAAAAACTCTCTGGCAAAAGAGATTGAACAACTTTCAATGCTTGCTGAGCAAAAGGAAAATTCAGTTGCGGAACAGCTGCAGGAGAAAACAAAGGAATGTAATGCTCTGGCTGATCAGTTGTCGGAAAGCAAGGAACAGACACAGCAGTTGCATGAACAAATGCAATCACTTGTCATTCAGCTGAAGGATAGTAGAGACAAAGAAATAAAGAAAGAAGAAATGTTAAATAATAAGTTATCTGAATGCAATAGCCTAATCCAAGAGCTCAGCCATAGTAAGGAAAAGAGTTTACTACTGCAGGAACAAATCCAAAACGTAACTTTGGATTTTGAAGCCGCAAAAAGATCTCTAGACGAGAAAATCCTTCAAAATGATTCACTGCGTAAGGAAATGGAAGAAAGTAGGCTTTGTGTTGTACAGTTGCAGGATGAAATTAAAAATCTTAAAGATGAAAAAACAAAGTTATCTCAGTTGGTAGAGGAAAGAGACCTGACAGTAAAAAGTCAAGGTTCAGAACTTGAGAAGTTTCATAGGCAAGTTTCTGAAAAAATGAAAGAAAGCACAGAATTAAATAATCAGCTACAGCTACTAAGCAAGGAGGTGGATGTGCTTAGGCATGAAAAGGAGGACGTTTCGAGCTTATTGAGTGAGAAGTCACGTGAATGTGAAGTTCTTCAGTCACAGTTAGTACAGCAACAGTCTGAAATTACTTTAGCAAGGCAACAGGCACATACAGCAGCTCTAGAAAATGAAAAATTAAAAGTAGACCTTGAAACGGTTAATGTTACGGTAATGAAAAAGTCAGACGAAGTAGCTGCTTTAACTTCACACTTGTCCCAACAAAGTCATAATATTTTGTCTCTGAAGGACCAAATTGATGGCCTGTTGATTGAAAAAGAAAACTTAAAAATTGTGTTGGAAGAAAAAGAAGGTCTTGTTTCTGAAAAGGAGGCTTTGATTCAGCAAATGAAAGATAGTAAAATAGCAGGAGAGGGGCAATATGTACAAATCATTGCTGATCTGCAGAACCAAGTCAGCCAGCTTAGACAAACGATGCAGGAAAAAGAAAATGACTTTAAGAGGCAAACCCAGGAGTTAAAGTTGTTAAAAGATAAATCTGAAGAGTCTGATGTACTTAGGGTTCAACTGTCTGAGAATATGGAGGTTATTTCTGACCTTCAGTATCAGCTTCGAAATGCCACAGAAAAGTCATCCCAGTTGAATGATGCGATTGCACAGAAGGATGAATCTTTAAAACAGAAGTTAGATCAATACATCAGTTTAAAAGCCCAACTTTCTGAGGTACAGGAATCCAGTGTTTTGCAGGAGAAACAGTTGGAGCTTTTAGCCTCTGAGACAGAACGATTGAAAGTACTTGTGTCAGAAAAAGAAGTAACCGTTAGCAATATTTCAATATTCAGTGAGAATTTAAAGATGCAACTTCAAGAGAAAGAGAATGAATGTGAGGTCTTAAAGAAACAGGTGGCGGAGCTGGAGGAAGTGAAAGCGAATTTCCAAAAAGAAATAGAACATCAGAAGAATGTAATAACTGAGATGGACCAGACCTTATCAGAAAAGGAATCATCTCTTACAGAAAAGAAAAGTCTTCTCAAAACTCTTCAGGAGAAAGCAAGGGAAGAGGAAGAGAAAACAAATTTAATTTCTCAGCTCCAAAGTCAGGTACATGAGCTAACACAAGAGCTACAAAAATCCAAAGAACTAGTCCATGAGAAAGAAAACTCCTTTTTGTCTCTTCAGGAGAAAATTGAAGCACAGTATGAATTAAGGACTGAGGTAAATGCGGCGCTTGGGAAGAAAGAAGAAGTTATTGCTGAACTGCTTCATTCTTTAAAGGAGAAAGATGCTGGTATGCAGGTGGCAGATAGCAACATTAATGTTCTTACTAGTGAGATTGAGGTTCTCAGAGAAAAATTAGAGAAAAGTGATACAGCCCTGAAAAACCTCACTAAAGAATTCCAGGAAAAGAATGAGAAGCTTGATATTAATCAGAAGAAAATGGATTCTTTGACTGTTGAACTTGACTCTCTTAAAAACGAACACCAGAAAACATTAAACCAAATAAGTACGTGGGAAGAACAACTACAGCAAAAAGAATTGGCTGCGGAGTCTCTGCGTGTGAAGTGCACTGAGCAGGCAGATAACATAGCGAGTTTGAAGTTAGAATTGAGCGACGTAAATTCCAAATCTACTCAAGACTGCCAGGACAATGCTCTGTTAATCGGTAGTCTGCAGCATCAGGTAGAGTCTTTACAGAAAGAAAAATACCTGTTACAAGAAGATGCTGATAAACTGACGGCTGAAAACGCACAGCTCGCTGCCTCTCAAAATCGTTTGCAAAAGGAATTGGAAGAGCTCCGAGAAATCAACGAAAAACTAGAAACCAGCGAGAACTATTCAAGAAAGCAGATAGATGCTGTCAAACTGCAGATGAAGACTGAAACAGAGAAGTTACAGATGCAGGTTAGTGCGAAGGGTGAAGAACTTTCTAAATTAGAACTTAAATTGGAAACTCTAGAACAAAGTCTTCTTGAGTCAGAAAACAAGTGGGTGACAGAACTTGATGGGGCAGCTTTGCAAAATAATAATCTTACTGAGCACTTGAGCAGTTTAGAAAATGAAATGAAATCAAAGGATAGCAAAATCCAGTCTTTGCAGCAAGAGCTGGATCTAATGAAAGAGGAATTAACTCAAAGCTTATCTCCATTACTTAGCAGTGGGCTTTTCTGTAAAGAAAAGAAGGCACAGACTTCAGATTCTGAACTGCAGCTAACTGATAGTAAAATTCAGTTGGAAAAATTCTCCACTCTGGTAACTGCTATTTTGAGCAAAGAAACAGAAGGAGAACAGCTGCAACTGATGCTTTTAGAAAAACAGAAAGAAATAGACTTCCTGAAAGAGGAATTAACAAGTATGCAGGTGCTTGAGAAGCAGAAGGAATCGCTGCATAACGATATCGAAAAGCTGAAGGGCAAATACAAATCTGAAATAGAATGTCTGGCAGAAGAAATGGCCACAGTCAAAGAAACGTTTTGTAAACAGCAGCTTCTCTTGCAAGAAAGGGAAGCATCTTTTGCAGAAATCAATAAGCAAGTTGAGTTTCTTCAAGACAAGATAGATAAATCAGAAGAAACAGCAAGAACCAGTCAGGAGAAGCTGCACGTTGAAAGTAAAAAAGTAGCAAATCTCCTTGAAGAAATGGGAAAAAAAGATCAACTCGTTGAAAATTTAACTTCTCAGGTGAATCAGCAGAGGGATTTAATTTCTGGTTTAAGCCAGCAACTGAAGGAGAAGGACTGTTCCATAACCCAGATCATGGAATCATTGTCTAATGAAATGCTGAATTTTTCTGAAGAGAGAAATACACTAAATACCAAACTGCAAGACCTTGAAGCTGTTCAGAAGAGTTCTGTAGGAGAACTAAACCGAGTTTTGCAGGAACTTGAGGGTTGTAAGAAAGAACTGGAACACAGTCGGGTTACCTTGAGCGGTCAAGAAGCTGCGTTTAAAGATTTAATGAATGAAAAAGAGGAGGTGCAGTTTAATCTTGAGAAAATGGGCAAGGAGAAAGAGAATCTGAAAAAGAAACTTCAAGCAGCACTTATTATAAGGAGAGATCTCATGCAGAAGGTTGGAAAGCTAGAGAAGAGTGGACAGGAGGAAATAGAGAAAGAACAAAAAAAAGCAGAGGAGCTGCTGAAGAAAGTTAATGAGCTAACAGACAAGCTGAATCTAGTTGAAGTACAAAAGAAAGATTTTGAGTCTCAGCTTGGAACTTTGAAACAGCAACTTATAGAAAAAGATTCCAAAATAAGCGATTTGACTAAAATTTTGTCTGCAAAAGCCTCTGACTTAGAGAAACTTCAAAACAATATTGCAGAACTGAATGGTGTCATTGCTGAAAAACAAAATACGTGTGAGCAAAAGCTTAAATCTTTAGAGGAGAAGGACTGCATGCTTGCTCATATGCAATCTATGCTCGATGAAAAAGCAAGTGCATATGAGGAGGAACGTTCTCAGCTGCTCTTAGCTCTTGAAGAAGTGAAGTCTGAAGCTAAGAAGAAGGAAGAATTGTTGAAAAATTCTGGTTCAGAAGAGCTTAATTTAAGCGCTGGAGAGAGGGAAAAGTGTGTGGATTCCAATAGTGACATTAATGCCATGAATCAATTAAAAAAAGAAAAAGAAGCCTTAGAGAGAGAGCTTCTGGTCAAGAAAGAAGACCTAAAAAAATTTCAGAAAGAAAGGGAAGAGTACGCTAAACTCGCAGTGGATTTTGATGAACAAAAAATCTACCTTGAGAATCTCAAACAAGAACATAAAGCACTCTGGGAAGTTCTTCAAACAAAACATGAAGAACTTGACTTTGCATTAGAAAAGTTGGAAAGAGTTGGCCTTACCTAAGGTGGTGTTGGGAGAAGCAGCAGCTGATCTGAGGAGTTTGGAATCGGACAAACCAACAAGTGAGGTTCAGGCTGCATCCTTAAGAGAAAACACAATCACTTCAGCGTCAAGTAAAGACACTGAGTTGAAAGAACTAAGATGTAATTATGCAAAACTTAAGGAAGAAACAGAAATGGTAAAGAAAGAGTTGAGAAAAATATCAGTTGAATTTGACGATGAAAGAGAAGAAGTGGTCAATTTAAACTCTTCAACACAGCAGGAGAAGAGCCAGGAGCAGCGTAAGGATGGTTTGTTGGAGAGCGTAAAGTGGCTACGGGAAAAGCTGAAAACCTATGAGGCTGAAGCTATAGATGCTAAGACAGCGCTTGAACGTGTGAATAATGAGAAAGAAGCACTTATTAAAAAAAGCCAAGAGGATTACAGGATGAGCCAGAAGGAACTGCAGAGATTGAGAGTTGAAGCTAAGAAGGAGTTTGCAGCAAAGAACGAGGAAATAGAAGCATTGCGTTGTTCACTTAAGGATTTCAAAGATAAAGTCCATCTGGAAGAGGAATTGTTAAATAAAGCTATAAAGGAGAGAGAAGCAGCAGCCCACCATTACCAAACAGCTTTCGAAGAAATGAAGAGTGAAAAAGAGAAACTTGTCAGCTGTTTGGAAAAGTCCAACTTGGAACTAACTGATATGAAAAAGGACGTGAAACATTTCAGTGAAGAAAACAAAAAACTGCTAATGGAGCTGTGTGTGCTTCATGAAAAGTCTGAGACGACTAGACCTGTGGGGTCATGCAAAGAGCTTAAGGAAGAAGATTTTACTGGAAAAGAATTGGGAGAGTTTTGTTCGGAAGTTAATTCCCTTCGAGGGAAGTTGCAAGGTAAAGGCACCGGTTTTCAACTGTTGGAGAGTGAGTACTGCGAGAAGACTAAACTGAGCGAAGCAACAGAATGTCAAATCCAGAAACAAATGCAAGTGACTGAAGAGCCACTGGCAAAAATGTCAGCTGCAAATGAGTTGAAACAACAAGAGCAAAGAACTGTAGCAGAAGAGAAGTCCAGAGAGCGCCTTCAAAGAAAGTTACAGGCAGCTCTAATATCACGTAAAGAAGCCCTGAGAGAAAATAAGTGTCTGAAAGAGCAGATTGATAAGCTGGTGTTGGAAAAAGAAGAACTGGTGAACAAGACGGGGATGCTTGAACACTTGTTAGAGGTTGGTAGAGAAAACCAAAGTTCAAGCACCGGTACTCCTTTGTCTCAAGAGGAGAGCCTTGTTTCTGAAAACGCCAGACTGCTGACTGAAAATGAAAACCTCACCGCAGCATGTGAAAGTCTGAAATCCACCATGGAGACTATAGTTCAGGAAAAAGAGGCTTTTTCTTTCCAATTAAATAGCTTAAAAGATTCTCAGACAGTTGAATTAACAGGATGGAAGGCTAAACATAGCGAATTAAAGCAGGAGTATGAATCACTTCTTCAGGCGTATGAGAATATCAGTAATAAAATAGCAGATATGAGGCAAGTTATTGATCTCAGTAGAAAAGAGAAGCAAGAGGCTATTCAGAGACTCAGGGCAGGAGAATCTGAGAAAGAGGCTCTTGAGAAGCGTTTACAAGAACTCAGCGGTGAAAATGAGGTTATTAAGAATCAACTGAAACAACTCAGTGAATCCAAGAAGATGGAAGTCGACGAACTACAGAGTAAAGCAGAAAGGCAGATACGTGAGCAAGAGGCAAGGATGCGGGAACACCAGGATCGTCTTCATGAACTAACTGAACAGAATCACCAGCTGATGGAGGAAAACGAGCAGCTGAAACAAACTTCTGAAAGTTTAAAGCAGGCTTTAGAGAAAATACAGAATGAAAATGATATCCTTCATAACAACATCACGGTGACGAAAGCAGCTTTGGGAGAGCTCCAAGTTCAAATGGAAGTGTACCAAAATGATATGCAGTCCAAAATCAGGGATGCATTGCACGAGAATGAATTGTTGTTGAAGGACTTTAATGTGTTAAAGGATAAACTGTCTGAAAAAGAACAAGATGTGATTGTCCTAGAAGAAGAAAGAAAGTCGATTTCAGAAAAAGCAAAAGAAACTGAAAAATCTTTGGACCATAAGACCCATTGTCTAACAAAGCTTGACATGGAATGTAAAAGTCTCACGCAAGAAATTGTTAGTCTAAATGAAAAAGTTAAGATTTTAGAGGATGATAAGTGTCTGTTACAGGAAGAGTTAGAAAATGCACAAGAAAGTTCATACAAGGTAAAGAATGAGAGAGAATTTCTTGAGACAGAATTGCTTAATCACGTTAAAAAAGTTGATCATCTTACTGATAGAATGAAATTAGCACAGGTACAGAATAACTTGCTGTTGCAGCAACTGGAAGAATTAAAGGCCGAAAAAGGTAACGTGATTAGAGAAAAAGAGGAACAGCAGTTACACCTTGTAAAAATATTTGAGGAGAAGGTGAAAAGCGCTCAGAGGGATAATAATGGAAATAAAAACAAAACAAAAGAACTGCAAGAACTCCTAAAGGAGAAACAGCAGGAGATCAACCATTTGCAGAAGGATTCTATAAGGTTCCAGGAGCTGATCCTGGATTTGGAAAGATCTGTGAAACTGTCCCAGTCAAAAAACGAAAAATTGGAAAAGGACTTGAGTAATATGTCAGAAAAGCTTGTGAAGTCCAATGAAGAAATACGTCATCTCAAGGGAAAGCTTTCTGCACAGATCAACTTGTTGGATCAGTCAAAGCATGACGTGGAGAGGCTTACAGATGAGAATTTAAACTGCAGAAAAGAACTTAAGAGGAAAGAAGATGAACTGCAAATTCAGAAGAGGGAATACGAGAGACAGCTGGAATTTAACCTGCAGCAATTAAAATTGGCTCACAAGAGAGAATTTTTGAACTTAGAGGAAAGACGTGGTGCCCTCGAGAGAGAAAAAAACAGGGCAGATAGTGAGATTGGTGGCTTGCGAGAGGAAGTGAGTGTTAAGGACTCTCAAAACAAGAAACTTCAAGCAGAACTGAATGCGACTCTGGCACGATTAGCTGCTTTTACAAAGTGTATGTCCTCTCTTCAGGATGACCGGGACAGGGTAATCACTGAAATGAAAACCTGGGAAATGCAATTCAAAGAGGCCATCCAAAATAAAGAGAAACAGATAGAAGATAGTAATAAAAGAATAGTGTCTTTACAGGATGAATTGAAAGAAAAAATTACTCAGATTCAAGAGCTGAATATCAAATATTCTGGGGTAGAGGAAACAAAGGATGAGCTGTATTTGAGGCAAAAGTCTGTTGATACGCAACGCTATGAAGAGCTCTGCAGAATAAAAGAAGAAAATACCTTTTTTTTTAACAGGCAGCAAGAACTGGAGAGTGTTCTTCAGTCCAAAGAAGCAGCTTTGCAAGCACTCCTTAAAGAAAATAATTCTCTTAATCATCTTATAGAGAATAGTAAAAGTACAGGAAGAGAAATACAGTCTCTGGAAAGTAGTTTCACAAGGCAGGAACAAGAATTGCAACAGCTTCTGGCTGAGAAGGAAAAAATCCATGCTGAACTGCAAAAGCAGATTGCCATTTCTGAGCAAGTGAAAATCATGCTAAACAACAAAGACAAAGAAATTTCCTTGCTCATTTCTTCAAAAGGTGATGAAATCTCTGAGTATTTGATTCAGGTACAGACACAACATGGGAAACAAATCAAAGAGTATGAGCTGCAGTTAAGGTCTCTGCAGGTGGAGAGACAACAGTTGGAGGAGTCCTGTCAGAGGATGGAGAATGAGTTGAGAAATCTCCAGATGAAAGCAGACAAAGCAGGTCAAGATAAGGCTGCAATTGCCAGTGAAATAGAAGCCTTGAAAAAATCAATGTCATCTCTTCAGAACAATCGGGATGATCTTTTTGCTAAATACAAGGAGCTAGAACATCTTCACCGAGATGTCTTGCATCAGCGGGACAGTCTTCTAGTTGACAGCGCAAGTGAGAACAACGCTTTGAAACAAGAATTAAGGGTACTTCTCAATCAGATAGATGATCTGCATTCTGAAAATGCAATGCTGAGTGCACAACTGATAAAGTATAGGGAAGATCTCAACCAAGTTTTGTCTCTGAAAGACCATCAGCTGAAAGACTTACTTAAGCAGAAATTAGATTGTATTAAAAGCCTCGAACAAGAAAAATATGATCTTCAGAAACAAATGAAAGAAATGCAACTTTCCCATGAACTGCAGAAGGATACTGCTATATCTTTGGAACATGAAAATAAAAAATTAGTGTCTAAAGTAGATGATTTAGAATCTTTAATTGCATCATTAAACAAAGAGAAACTTGTTTCTGAATCTGGAGAGAAACTGCTAACTAGTGATAGCATTCAGAAAAAAGAAGGTGTATCAAGTGGGCAGTATGGAGAAAATCTTCAGAAAAAGATGCCAGAACTCCAGAAATCA